TGAAATTAAGTTTAGTTTGCTACTGGTTCAAACCGTTTCGCCCATTGTTGCCTGACATTTATTACTGAGTTTTGAGTAAAATTAAATATCATCGCCCATGGGCGAGATATTGTTTATGAAGCTCTAAATTAGCCAAATTAAGTCCAAAGATACACATTTTATATCATGTTACTTATAAACGTACTTTCATTCATTTACAAAATCCAGATTATTGAAAAAACATGTATTTTGAGCTAAAGTCATTATTCTCGCCAATGGGCCAAATTGTTTTTCGCTCATGGGCGTCATTTTTGAATAACACTCCAAATTAGTCCAATTAAGTCCAAATGATTTAACTTCTTTCTCTTTCTTATTGTTATGATTTTGGAATACATAGTACAGTTGTATCACCAGAGAGTAGTACAGTTACATCCGCTGAACGCATAGTACAAAGTATGCGAGCTGATCACACAGTAGCGCTATGTCAGCTGAACGCATATTACAATTATGCCAGCTGAACAAATAGTGCAGTAATATCAGCTGAACACAATACAAACCTATCCGCTGAGGACAGTGCCGTTATATCAGCCGAACACGCAGTACAATCATATCAGCTGAACACATAGTACAACTTATATGAGCTAAATATTGTGCAGTTATATCAGCTGAACACGCAGTACAATTATATCACCTGAACCCATAGTACAGTTATAGCAGCTGAACACATAGTTCGCTTAGAGCAGCTGAACACATAGTACTGTTATAGCAGCTGAACACATAGTAAAGTAAAGCAGCTGAACACATAGTACAGTTATATCAGCTGAACACATAGTACATTTATAGCAGCTGAACACATAACATATCTATATCAACTGTCTGCATAAATGGTAAAAAGAATGGGTCCCAATACAGAGCCAATAGAGGAAGTTTGTCGGAAATACTATCAGTGATCTTCACTGACTGGAATCGTCCAGAGAGATAGGATAGGAGCCAATCAAAGGCACTGTCTTTGACGCCGAATCTGTGCTGGTGAGTGCTCATGAGAGTAGACTGGTCGATATGGTCACGCACGCTGTGGAGAGGTCGAGTAGTACCATGATGGCGGCCCCATCGGAGTCAACCGATTGCAGGATGTCGTTTTGTACAGGGACAAGTGCCGTCTCTGCACTATGGATACATTGATATACCGACTGCAGAACCTCTGAAAACCTGTTTCTCATGATGTGTTTAGTGGGCCTGGCTGCCTCTCAAGGACCTTTCAAACAAATTTAAGACGGGTCTTAAGCTTTTGACAACATCAACACGAGGTCACGGTGGGACATGCTCCACTCAGCATGTTCCTGATGGAAAAAGAAGCAGCCATATTTTTGGAGTTGTATCTATTTATTAACTAATTACTTAAGGCGTATTCCTTAAGTGGAACTATGTGACGACATGTTAAGCCTTTATACGAGTGTAAGAAGATGAAAGGTTGGCACAACTGCAAGATGTACTTCAGTTCTTACTATGTGCAATACAATACTAATTGTTATTTCATATGAATAGGTTAATGAAGAGTGATCAATTTAACTTTATACTTACAACTGACAATCTTAATGACAATGATTCATATCTTTTATGAACTGAATACGCACATATTTAAAAAGGAATTGTGTTGTTGTTTTTGTTAATGCCGTTTTATGGACAAAACAATGACGTGAAATGACTGGCCAGGTGCGTGTTGGTCACAAACGTGAAAATCAAGTTATATCTGAAAAAATATATTTTGGTGACATGATATCTAACTGTAATAATATTTCTACAAGAAAGGTAAAAATGAATTTATACCATGCCGTGTGTTCCTTTGGACAAACTTTACATCATTATTTTGATAGTTCCATACAAAAAGAGACAACTATTCGGATGGAGAGATAACTCACAACCGTAACTGCGGACATGATTGTGTCTGCTGCATTGAAGATTTCAAACTTATGATAAGGTTGCCGCTAAGTATCCTTCCAGAGTTAAGGCTGACCAAATGTAATTTGTGCAACGGGCGTAACTTTTCGTTAAGATTACCTTAAGGTTAACCTTAGTTGCTAAGTTCAACCTTAGTAAAGGTTGTTTTGTACAACGGCCCACAGATAATAAGTAAGTAAATCTTACATACACTGATACTCTTATTTTGACACCCTGAAAAGATACATGGTTATGTTATGTACTTCTGTTCACAGGAGGATCAAGGGCTCAACAAAATGAAGCAGATCACGTCGAGACCATACAGCTTTTGCGTAAGTTCACGCGAACTGTCTTCCCAGCACTACTATTTGCGTTTTTAAATTGTGATTGATATTTTCTCGGATACATTCTATATGTAACTGAAGACATGGTGGTTAAGGTTGATGTTTTTGTTTGCACATTGACGCCACATTCATTAAGCAATATTTTTCAAAAATGACGGCTCTGTAACAATCAGTGTGGACAGTTTTGTTTTGATTCCCATTGTATGAGCATTGATCAACGCTTTTGGGATGCTATAACATGCATCCACCTGACATTCATCGTCTCTTACGACAAGTGGATTCAAGGTTCTGTGCATCATCCAGTACAATGTACCTTTTTGAAAGCGTTAACGTATGCATATTTGAAATCTCCTGCGTTTCTGATTTAGTCAAACCTGCAAACATATATTTACTTTTATTCATAGCGAAGAACCAGTTTTGCTCATCTGATTAAGTGTCCAGTGAGCCTTTACAGTGACCCGTAAGACCGTCGTTGCCTGTGAGTGAGTGAATTATAAAATACTGGTGAATTATAAAATATTTGTCAGGAAAATGTATGTTTCCCCTGTGTTTGGTTATGGAAATAGTTATGGTACTCGGCCATAGCCTTAGAATGGCATCTTGTCAGCCACTGTGAACACAGAACAACTTTCACGGCACACACTACTGACAAATAGCGAGTCTGATGCCAACGTGCGCAATTGGACAAAATGGAAAACAATGAAAGCAACAAGTACTTCATGAATTGCCGTTATGTTCGGCAATGTTTCTGGTAGTCTGCAACATTTAGGGCTCCAAACCCAAAAGAACGTCATAGCGAAACATTTTCAAGCTCACGTGAAATCTCTTACTGATTTTGATATCTATCTCATGGGTACCAGTGGAACTGCCCCAGCTACAAAATGCCCCAGCAAATTTGGTCATCCATTCTAATTTGGTCAAATTTATTTAAAATGATTAAATATATGCCGTAAATGCATAGTTTTTGTCAACTTTGATCTTATGTTCTTCATATAAAAGTTATTAAGAAGATATATTTCTGATAAATGTCCCATCAGTAGCTCATAACTATGTATATACTTTTATATGAAGAACATATTATCAAAGTTGACAAAACTGTGCATTTATGGCCTATATTTAATCATTTAAATAAATTGGGGCATTTTAACTACCCCCATGGGGCAATTTTACCAAATTTGCTTGGGCAATTTGCAGCGGAGGGCAATTAGCCTGGCAATCGTACTTGATTTTATTTATGTTAAAAATACCACTGACAGTAAGCTGTAACAGGGAATGATGGAGTAGAAATGAATCTCGTGGGTAATTCTTCCTTCTTCAGCCAAGCTTTGGGATTTGTATGCCCCATGTGTGCTTGTCTCCTTCATATGCGTCCGACTCGGAATGATCGGACCATTTCTCCTTCCTAAGTCTGTCTCTTTACTTGAAAAACGGAAGAAATGGTGGCTTTCCATTGTTCGATGATTCCGTGCATCCCCAGGCAACAGAATACACCATCGTACCACTTACAAAAACGACAGAAACAACACGATTTAGACTACTGTAGCGCTTAGTCTTTGGGAATATGGCGGACTCCAGGCACATTTGACGTCACGAGCGGAAAGGTCACGTGGGTTCCAGCGAAATATGCATAATGGCCGAAGCTGAGATTTACAGAAACTGTTTTCGCGATTAAAACATAATTATACATAATTTTTAATTGAACATTTGGAAATATGTTTCTGATGACTTTATCTTTCACCCAGCAAATTATTGGAATTCACTCGTATTCTCCTTTAAGACGGGTCTGAAGCTTTTGAAAACATCAACACGAGGTCACGGTGGGACATGCTCCACTCAGCATGTTCCTGATGGAAAAGGAAGCAGCCATAATTTTGGAGTTGTATCTATTTATTAACTAATTACTTAAGGCGTATGCCTTAAGTGGAACAATGTGACGACATGTTAAGCCTTTACACGAGTGTTAGAAGATGAAAAGTTGGCATAACTGCAAGATGTACTTCAGTTCTTACTATGTGCAATACAATACTAATTGTTATTTCATATGAATAGGTTAATAAAGAGTGATCAATTTAACCTTACACTTAAAACTGACAATCTTAATGACAATGATTGATATATTTTATGAACTGAATATGCACATATTTAAATGGCATTGTCTTTTGTTTTCTTTTTTCCTTTTTGTTGATGCCGTTTTATGGACAAAACAATGACGTGAAATGACTGGCCAGGTGCGTGTTGGTCACAAACGTTTTACGAGGCACTCATTGTTGTTGATAATAAAATCAATTTATATCTGAAAAAAATATTTTGGTGACATGATATCAAACTGTAATAATATTTCTACAAGAAAGGTAAAAATGAATTTACACCATGCCGTGTGTTCCTTTGGACAAAATTTACATCATTATTTTGATAGTTCCAAACAAAAAGAGACAACTATTCGGATGGGGAGATAACTCACAACCGTAACTGTGGACATGATTGTGTCTGCTGCACTGAAGATTACAACCTTATGATAAGGTTGGTGCTAAGTATCCTTCCAAATGTAATTTGTGCAACGGGCGTAACTTTTCGTTAAGGTTACATTAAGGTTAATCTTAGTTGCTAAGTTGAACCTTAGTAGAGGTTGTTTTGTACAACGACCCACAGATAATAAGTAAGTAAATCTTACATACACTGATACTCTTATTTTGACACCCTGAAAAGATACATGGTTATGTTATATACTTCTGTTCACAGGAGGATCTAGGGCTCAACGAAATGAAGCAAATCACGACAAAACCATACAGCTTTTGCGTCAGTTCACGCGAACTGTCTTCCCAGCACTACTATATGCGTTTTTAAATTGCGATTGATATTTTCTCGGATACATTCTATATGTAACTGAAGACATGGTGGTTAAGGTTGATGTTTTTGTTTGCACATTGACGCCACATTCATTAAGCAATATTTTCAAAAAATGACGGCTCTGTAACAATCAGTGTGGACAGTTTTGTTTTGATTCCCATTGTATGAGCATTGATCAACGCTTTTGGGATGCTATAACATGCATCCACCTGACATTCATCGTCTCTTACGACAAGTGGGCTCAAGGTTCTGTGCAGCTCCTCCAGTACAATGTACTTTTTTTAAAGCGTTAACGTATGCATATTTGAAATCTCCTGCGTTTCTGATTTAGTCAAACCTGCAAACATATATTTACCTTTATTCATAGTGAAGAACCAGTTTCGCTCATCTGATTAAGTGTCCAGTGAGCTTATACAGTGGCCTGTATGACCGTCGTTGCCTGTGAGTGAGTGAGTGAGTGAGTGAGTGAAGATTTACAGTCACATCGGCAATATTTCAGCCATATCGTGACTAAAACAAGTTTAAATTTGCCATAAATAATGTAAATTATAAGAACCTGTCAACAAAGTACAGTAAATATTTTAACTACAGAAGACAGTACAATATGAAAAAAACAGGCTATAGATTGCCAACAGCTGAAGGTAGATCACCATACTAGGAACCATGGGCCGTCATTGCCTGTAAAACACTTTCTCACCCTGAAATTTTCATATGTTGCTTCCAACACTGACAACACATGAAAACTGTTCATGAAATATCGAAATATTTTTTTCAATATGGCCATTGAGAGCGTATTTTGAATGATCTGTTTATGGCCGTTACTGGCCATTTGTTTAAAATGAAGTTCGATACATATGTTGTTTGTATTGGAGTTCGTTTGCGATAAATTATAGCTTGTTCCAGCATGTTCTCAACACTCTGGACGATTATCTCTTTATAACCCAGTGAGCCAGTGAAGATGAAGACATTGTTGTTTCCAATATTGGGTATGACTCAGCACTGGGCAAGTTGATGAGTCAAGTCGACTTTGCTGCTAAAGTTTGGTTAGTTCCGAAAGGAACGACAGTTATAAAATTTGACCTCACAGCCGAGCTATCATTGCCGGGAGAGTAACAACGGTGTCACGTGCAAGGACGTTTGGTGTATATATCATCAACGTCAAAATTACCGACGAAGTTCAATTATTGCGTGCACTTTCAGCCTTTTTGTTGCCATATTTAAGCAGATTGTAAAACTACAGCCCACAAGACACCCTTTCCGCCGATTGTGTCTTGACCCTACTCTTTTGATGCATACGCGTCAGGGTTTCCTCTCGAATAGCAAAATTCAAAACAAAACGGATTTTGACCAAGATACTAAACATCAGGTACCGCTTATGATCGTCTATGATCCTTTAGCATTCAATACCTGCTTGGCAAAGCGATTGACTAAAGTTATGCTACCCATCCTTGTCACATTAGTGTCTGTTGTTGACAATTTGTCATGAAATGCCGGAGACGGACAATTCACAACCTTACGACTTGTGTATTAAACGGGCGTGACATCTGATGGCCCCTGGTCAGGACGGCCACGTGTGTCGTCAAATGCCAAGGGCAATCAAATAAGGTTACATCATTTAATCGTTTTACTAACGCAACATCAACTAGTAAAGTACTGTTTAGGTGTCGCGTAATTTCCTCGCTGTCCATCTTCGTACCCTACGTCCTTATGTTGTCCGATTCTGACACAGGTAAACCGTAATGAACGTTTACAAAATACGGGTGCTGACGTCATGGAGTGGCCATTCAGATCACCTGGTATTTAGGATGCATAATATAGCTAATGTATTTCAGTTAGTTGGGTAATGATTTGAATTTTACTACTTTCGATGATTAAATAATTATTGTTAACATAGAAGAATGCTTTATAACAACGTGTTTTGTGTTGATTAGATATATATGGAACTATTTTGTTGCAGCTGCGCAAATCTGTTCACATAAGGCACCCGAAATACTCACTGATCTTCACGATTCAATTTTATGGGGAGACATATGTCGTGTAAAAAGCATTTTGTCAAAGGGACAGGTGGATAAAAACTCTGTGGATACATATGGGAGGACACCAGTAATGTGGTCAGCACGCCAGAAACAGAAAGAAGTGTTTGACTATCTTGTGAAAAGTGGAGCTGACCTATCACTGACAGACAAGAGCGGAAACAACATACTTCATAGTGCCTGTAATGGTGGACATATGGATATTGTTCGGTGCATTCTCTTAAAACGTTTAGTGGACATCAACAGTCAAGACATATATGGCAGGACAGCAGTGATGATGGCAGCAACTAGGGGTTACAGGGATGTGTTTGACTTACTCGTTAGGGACGGAGCTGATCTGTCATTAGTCGATGACGCAGGAAACACTGTTCTCCATGCAGCCTCTCTCGGAGGTCAAACTGGATTGGTGGAGAATGTTCTCTCGCACATTACTGCTGACATTAACACGAGGAACAAGTCTGGAGAAACAGCAGCTATGGTTTCAAAGGAGAATGATAAGCTGTCAGTGTATGACCTGCTGGTGTCTCGTGGCTGTGCGGAGAATTAGGTCTAATCAAGTGATGAAATAGGTTTATACACACAAATGGAATCAACTCTGCTCTTTGTGTGCAAACAGTTTAGACACCATGTTAACCTATATTCACGTATATTTTCAGATAATAGAAATGACAATTAGTTCTTAATATTTCATTTTCGATTTGCATTCCATATTTCTTATTTCTTATTAAATCAAATGCAAACATTCCACATTAAAGAGAGGTGTTTTAAATATACTATTCCAAAAACGAAACGCATAACCCAGAAATCTGTTGCGAAAATGTTGTATTTTCAAACTCGTATACAAATAGACTTTAAGAAACGAAGTTTTACATCAGTTTAGAAGAAGGTAATGTCCATACAGCCAAGTGGATAATTTTAGATAACGGAGACGTTGAGCACGATGATGACCACGTAGCATGGTCCTGACGTCGGGTGTCCTGGCTCTCAGTCCAATCTCTCTCAACCTGTTCCGTACAGTTTGACATCCTCCGAAGTCCAGGCACCCTGGCTGCTGTGCTCTCACACGTGGCAGTACGATCACGCCAATGTAGCAACCGGATGTACCGATCTTGGGCTGCAGTGGTGACTCGAGGTCTGCTTGTACGGGGACGGTCATTTGTTATACCTGTTTGGTTGTAACGAGTTGCAAGCAGTGACGTCATGTTCAGACTAACGTTCAGACGCCTGGCAACAAAAAATTGGTAATCTCCAGCGTACACTCTTTCAATGGCGATGTTCCATGTCGCATCGTCAAGACTTGGCGTAGTGATTTGACCTTGAAACTCCTTCAAACGGATGCCGTTTTGCGAAAGTAATCTGGATTTTTAAAGCCAGATAGCCCATGCTCTTTGCTGCACAATTTCAACTGGAAGGTTGTTTCAGATGCTTGTGGCGACGCCTTTTCAACTTATGTAAGAAATCTCATCAAAATCAACATTTTCAGGTAAAGTCGATTTGGTAATCTCCGGTGTACATTTTTTCAATGGCGATATTTCGTGTCGCAGCGTAGTGATTTGACCTTGAAACTCCTTCAAAACGAATGCCAATTTCCGAAAGTAATCTGGATTTTTATAGCCAGACAGTGCATGCTGTTTGCTGCACAATTTCAACTGGAATGTGATTTCTGTTGCGTTGTGGCGATGCCTATTTAATTCTTGTAAGAAATCTCATCAAAATCAGCATTTTCAGGTAAAGTCGATTTTTCACTTGTGCATTTGTGTAAAATCATGTTATCAACACCTTTGTTACATATTTTGACGATTGTTTGCACACAATAGGTAATTAATAGATTTTAAAAATACAAATGCATATGCGTTTCTTTTTGGGGATAGTATAATAATGTTTTTAATGATGATTTCTATGATCCACCTACAAATACATGATACTCTCATCAAAAGTCAAATGTAAATAAACGGAGAAAAAGTGCTTAAATACTGATCTTCAAAAAGCATGTATGCATACCCTACTAATCACTACCACTGACACTATTCATCAATTCATGGTCATGAACAAGAAAGCTAGATAAGATAAGATAAGAGATAAGATTAGATTACATAAGACATACATACAGACAGACAGACAGATAAATAATTTACCTAATTTTATGTATTGTTGTGGCATCATTCATCTAGACAGTTCATGTATTAGTTGATATGCAAATAATATTTGCGATGTTTGCGTTGGTACTCAGAAACCGGTAGTCGGTGTACCACTTTGAATCTCATCCCCCATAATTTCGACTCGACAAACGTCAGTTTTGTTATGAGAAAATCTCTTCGTTTGGGGTTTCCGGAATCCATTAGAACAAACGATTAGGTTTGCGATCGTGTATATCTTTAAGAATGAACTGTTTTTCAAGTCGCTCGTACGCGCTCTTACTTCCAGCTAGTTCTTGACGGAGTTGTGCTATTTCGTCTCCATGCATGTGAACATCATGTTCAACAGAACTAACTTCGGTCTTTTCAATAATGAAAGACCTCGGGCTTCTGCAAATGATAATGCCCTGAAAAATAGCGTTGCCCTTATAGTAAACTGTATACGGTTATAACGAACTCCATGGGACCACTAAGTTTAGTTTGCCATGTGCATTTTAAGCGTATACAGCCTATGTCTAGAACCAAAAAGCAATTCGTTACATCCGTCAGTCCGTTCTAGCATGTTCATTATAAACGTAGTATACTGTACTTATTAACAGGTTCCAGAAAGAGGCGCTTTTATAATACATGATGATTTCATACACATTATCACTTTTGTAACATTTTTACATCTGTTGAATAAACGATTATCCAACAATGAAACTTACCTTTTCATTATGCTCCTTTGCATTTATTTTGCATAATTGTATTTTTTGGATTCTGTAACGAATGCCTGCTGGAGTAATATACAATACAAACGTTCATAAATAACCATGCATGACAAGTGACACTGAGAAATCATGAGACACATATGTTTCCTTACATCCCTGGAGTTATTACTGAAAAATTGTGCAAGCATCAATCAGTCATTCATTTTCTTTTACCCCTTACGGGAACAAACTCTATGATACCGATTCAGAGCTTTGGATTTGTTTTTAAACGTCAACTTAGTCGTTAGTGACGACTCAGTGGTTTGGGTTGCAGATTTAATTCGATGTCACAATACCTCTACATTGACCGTTCCGTACAATATTGGCTGGATAATGCGGTCGAGTCTACATCATTTACATTCATATACTTTGAATTGTGCCAGGTACGGCGTTCACCAAACAAAAAACGTTCAGTATGTCTCAAGTGGATGTACATGCATAAATTTACTTGTTTTTGTCAGTTCAAAGTCTGATATTGCAGGTTGCAAAGTGTGATAATGCCGTTCTTCTACGTTTTCCATTAAGTTTGGCTCAATCTCATGAAGTCTATGAAGTACATTTACGCTCAGTGCTAACATTCGACATGTATTTAACATAGCATTAGTCAAGCTCTAGTTTACTGTAGGACAATCGACCTGCATATCGAGGCTCCACTTGTCACATCAACTCAGAAGGGGTTGAGAATACATGAAGTGAATGGTTATAGACATAATATCCGCGCAATGCACAAAATGAAGGCACACACCCTGCGAGCATGGTTTTCCTAAACAGCATGCACAATATGATAGAGGACAAATATGCGGCTATAGAGTGTCAGTTGGTTGCAGTTGCCACAATACAACGTGTAAACAGTGAGTGTTCCAAACAAACTAACAAGAGGTTGCAATGAAAAGGTCATTTTGACCCGTTTATCTGCTCTAATCTTGTAAATGGGATTAGCATATACAGAGCTGTCTACAGGTTACATATCACAGTGTGAAAAGCAAAACAAAAGTCATTTGTCAAGACCCATAACGCATGGGTCATCACCACAAGGCGTGGGACACGACAAAACTAAATCATCTCTGAATACCTTCTGTGTTTCTAACAGGAACATTTTTCATACTGAACTACGATTGAAAGACATTCAATAACCTTTTCAGTTACACTTGACATGGTTTGTCCCGTTTGACATGGTAATGTTCGTCCAATATAAACACTCTTTAATTACACTGTATACTTATCATCACATTTATGTACATGTATTTTGGGCCGGAGGCCTGTTACTGAAATAAAATTCTGTTCTGTTCTGTTCTGTGTTCTGTTCTGAAAAGGCATATTGAAATACATGAGTACTGCGGCCATACAAATAGGTAATGACTCATATCACTCAGGCAGCTGAAGACAAACTCCTAGTCAGTTACAATAATGTGAGTTATAGTTGACAATCTCCAGCAGTCTATAGCTAGAGATGGTTAGTCAAGATCACTGAGTTTATACTAAACATGTTTTCCGAAACGAATATATCACATCCTTTGTGTCTGCGTGAGCGCGCGCCTCTCCACCCTCTCTCTCTCTCTCTCACACACACACCCCTCTCTTTCTCTCTCCCCCTCTCTATTTCTCTCTCCCTCTATCTCTTTCTCTCACACCCTCTCTTTTCTCTCCCAATATATCGTTCTCTCTCTCACTCCCTCTCTCTCTTTCTCCCCCCCCCTCTCTCTCTCTCTCGCCCCCTCTCTCCCTCCCTCACTCCCTCTCCATCTTAACTGTTGTACACGTAGAGCAGCAGCTGTTCGACTGTGTTTGATATGTCCTGGCTGCCCATGTTATGCATTATTTATGTTATATCCCTGGGATACATTACACCACGATTCTAAATAAGGAACATGATTAATGTACTTAGCTATTGTTACATGTTGGTATTCAATCGTACTGACGTAAAACCAGCAAGCACATTCTGACGTGTACATTTTACATATGTATGGATACATCACTAAATGACATGAGACAATAGACATGTTGGAAATTGTTTATCTGCTATGCGTTAAGAGTATAGTCATGGGCCAAGTTGTCGGGCTGAAATATAAGTACTTATAAAAGTTAATAATGTATCAAACTGCAGTGATTCATACATAGTGAGTGAGTGAGTGAGTGAGAGAGTAAATGTTGCTTAAGCCGAACCATCAATACCTCAGTTGTCCGCGGCTAAAAAGACCCGTGTTGGTCCGTGTTAGAATTGATTTTCCGTAACCCATGCTTGTCGTAAGAGGCGACTAACGGGATCGGGTGACCAGGCTCGCTGACTTAGTTGACACATGTCATCGGTTCCCAATTGCGCAGATCGATGCTCATGCTGTTGATCACTGGATTGTCTGGTCCAGACTCGATTTTTTACAGACCGCCGCCATATAGCTGGAATATTGCTGAGTGCGGCGAAAAACTAAACTCACTCACTCGCGGCTAAAAATCAAATATTTCCCTTAGAAAGGAAACTATAATGAAAGCGATGGCGAGGATCCATTACATTTCAGTCTATTATCAGAATAAACAGTGAAACACTTACATTCAAAATTTACAATCTATATCTTATCATATACATCTAATTCAGTTTCCTTCACATATGCTAAAATTAAACAGACACGGTATACAGCAATTGTTTGAGCAGTATAAAAACTTTGTCTAATGACCGAAAAATCCACAAATTCAAAAAGAAGGTGCTTGACAGTCATAGCATTGTGGCATACATTGAGTTGGGATTCTCTTCCTTCTCTTGGCATACTTTACTTCCTACCTGTTTAATATCAGAATGTCAACAGGAACATCTTCGAATGATTTCCCAGACAAATATTGTAGTTACATTAGAAATAGATTCCA